CGTCTTCCATCCCCCTTCGGCTGACAGGATTTTTCCAACGGTTGTTCTGTAAAACCAGTTGTTTCATTACGTCAGTTTTTATGTACGGCGTCCTGGGAATTTGATTCGGAGGACGGCGTGATGTATTATTTAAAAAGCACACGCTTCTGATCCCATCTTGCCTTTCTGGGGTGGGGGCAAAAAAAAAAAAACAGCCATGGGATATACACATACTTTGCTCTGAAATGGCTGCCTGCCTCGCAAAGTCATTTCCTTTTTCCTGCAGAAGCCCGGAGATTTCGATGACAAATTTCATTTATTTTGCTCTCTCTCTCTCTCTCTGATCTTTTTGTCTCCCCCTCTTTCTCTCTGTCTCCCCCCCCTCTCTCTCTCATGTCTCTTTCTCTCTGTCCCCACCTCTCTCTCTCTCTCTCTCTCGTTCTCTCCGATCTTTATTCCAACACTCGAGATGGCTTCAGTCGTTAACAGAGGGGAATAGAAAAATTTTAAAAAATATCCAAAATAACATTTAGAGGTGGTCCTCGACTTAGGATCGTCTCTTTAAAGACCATTAGAAATCACGACGACACTGAAAAAGGTGACTTATGGCTGGTCCTCACACTTAACCACCTTTGCAGCGTCCCGCAGTTTGTGTAAACAAAATTCAGGCGCTTGGCAACGGGAAGATAGTCCTCGACTTAATGACCGCAACGGAGCCCAAAATTTCTGTTGCTAAAGGGAGACACTGGTCAAGTGAGTTTTGCCCCGTTTTATGACTTTTCTTGCTACCGATGTTAAGGGAATCACCATCGATTTATTTACGTTTATATTTATATTGTATTCATATTTCATATTTCTTACCCGCCCAATCCATCTCCCTCAGGGACAGGCTCCATGGCAATGGTATCTAACAAAATGAAATCCAGTGTAGAGAAAAGGAAAGCCCTACACTTAGGCAAGAAAAACCAAAACGACACATATAGACTGGGTGAAACCAGGCTCAATAGCAGGAACTGAGAGAGGGATCTTGGAGTCCTAATGGACAACCAGCTAAATAGCAGCCAGCAGTGTGCAGCAGCAGCCAAAAAAGCTAACACAACCCTAAGTTGCATTAACAGAGGGATACAATCAAGATCATGGGAGGTGCTAAAACCACTCTATAGAGACTTAGTAAGACCACAACTAGAGTACTGCACCCAGTTTTGGTCAACACATTATAAAAAAGGTGTTGAGACTCTAGCAAAAAATACAGAGAAGAGCAACCAGGATGATTAGGGGACTGGAGGCTAAAACATATGAAGAACGGTTACAGGAACTGGGCCTGGCTAGTCCAGTGAAGAGAAGGACCAGGGGAGACAGGATAGCAGTCTTCCAATACTTGAGGGGCTGCCACAGAGAGGAGGGAAGGGGTCAAGCTATTCTCCAAAGCACCTGAAGGCCAGACAAGGAATAATGGATGGAAACTGAACAAGGGGAGATTCAACCTGGAAATAAGGAGAAATTTTCTGACAGTGAGAACAATCAACCCATGGAACAGAAGTTGCCTTCGGAAATTGTGGGAGCTTCATCACTGGAGGCTTTCAAGAAGAGATTGGACTGCCATTTGTCCGAAATGGTGTAAGGTCTCCTGCTTGGGCGGGGGGGTTGGACTAGATGACCTACAAGGTCCCTTCCAACTCTGATTATCTGTTAAATCTGCTTTAAAAAGTTAGTAAATTGGGAGCCCAGCTACTAAACAACCACATCGTTTAAGCAATGGATGTTCCGGTCCCAATTGTGGTCGTAACGTCGAGGACGATCTCTAAATACTAGCCAATCTGTCGTTTTTAGCACGCAGGGGCTTTTTCTTGCAATGTCACCCCAGCCAGAAGGAAGCAGGGGAGGCTCCAGACCGGCTTGGTTCGGCGCTTCCATGCTCCGTGTGTTTGGCGTGTCAAAACGTTGTTCGGGAAGCCGCCCTGCAGATGGGCTGCGAAAGCCGACAGATGGCCTGGGACAAACTCAGGAGCCAAAGGGAAACCAGAGCTTGCTTGCTTGGACCGGTTAGCCAGGCAAACTGGGAGGTGATGATCATGTTGTTGGTTTGAGAGCCGAGCTTGGCGATTTGGCTGCAGATGTTTCATCCCCATTCGAGGAAGGGTCGTCAGCGCGCTTTTGGATCGTGCTCGTCCGGAGCTGCACTGGCCTTTAAGTACTTTTTCTGAGTTCCTGGTTTGATTCTGGGTGGTGCGATGGCGAGTGTGAATAGTTGAGAGTAGGTTTAACTTAAAAGTCACACAACCAGGGGGTGGGCTGCTGGGGGTTTGCAGGGGTTCAGGAGAACCCCACAAATCCCACTCCTGGCTGGCCTCACCCACCCCTCCCCTCCTCTCCCAGAAGTCCCCTCGCGGCCTGTTTTGGATGCAGGGAAGTGCAGGGTGTGTGCGCGGGAGGGCGAAAAACAGGCCTCCCGGAAGTTCGGGAAGACCAGAAATGGGCCTGTTTACTGCTTCCAGTCGGAGCTGTTCTGACCAAGGCTTCCGAGACCATACTTATGCACACGCTTATTTTAAAATCAAGTCTTGTTTTATTGCAACGCTGGGAATTATTTTTATTCCCAGCTGGTAATGAAACTCAAACAGCCCCTCGAGATAAGCACCCACCTTTCTTTCCTTGTGAAGTGCTGCCGATAACAGAAGTGTCCAATCAACTAGAAAAAAAACCAACCCAAAGTACAAAGAGTTTCACAGATGAATCTGAACCGAACAACTTTGCTTCCTGCAAAGGTTTCTTCACCTTTGCCTGTCCTTTTATACCTGATGGGAGAGGCAATCATCTCCCTGCCTTACTCCCAAGTTGCCCTTTTGTTTCAGATGCTCTTGCCTTCTAGCAGCTCTGCGCACGCACGCACTGGGAACAGGCTCCCCTTGTTCCTCCGCCTCGCTGCTACCAGACTCCGGAGGCTCCCGAGTCAGCACCCCACTCCCAAATGGTCCTGGCCCCATTTCTACATCGGACGCAGGGCCCTCGTCTGAGTCCTCCCCAGACTCCCAGACTGGTCCCCATTCTTCCCCACTGTCCGTTTCCACTGCCGTCTGCACAGGCTGCCGGTGAACCACAACAGGAGTCCAGGGAGGGCAAAAAGCCCCCCCCCCCCACCGGCTGTGGTGCAGGAGGCTGACTAGGCCACGCCCACCATGGCCACGCCCACCCAGCAACTGTGCAGAGAACCCATTGCTACAATTTTTGAAGTCTACCCCTGCACACAACCCAAAACTCAGAGTGCTGGCCTTTCAATACCTTTTTTATGTGATGCAAATTAAGTGGGAATGTTGTTTGTTCGGCTACTTCTGAGTCATGGTTTGACTTGTCAGACAAACAACACCCACGCTAATTTGCATCAATTTTTTTAAAAAAAAGGTATTGAAAGGCCAGCGCCCTGAAGACGACCCCAATTCAACGCGCACGGATGATGTCTCCTCGAAGGGTGACAAAACGTTTGCAACCAAATTGCCAAACTCAGAGCTCAGACCAACTACCAACCTGAGCTACTTATATTCAAATACATTTCAACGGTCATAAGTCACCCTTCCCAATGTCGTTGTAACTTGGAACGGGTTCCTAAACGAATGGTGGTTAAGTTGAGGGCATACCTGTGCACCGATCTCGCTTAAGAACAGAGACATAAATCCATAAGTCTGCAGTCAAGAGGTAACACACTAGGGACGTTTTGAAATTTATTTATTTGATGAACTGCCATGAGGAAAAAGGCGGGCTTGGAAAATACTGTTTCCCTGAAAATACAACCTACCCTGAAAGTAAGTCCTAGTTTGATTTTTACACATGTGCCTAATATAAGCCCTACCCCAAAAATAAGCCCTAATTAAGATCCTGCCCACTCCAGAGTAGACGGGTAAAAATTAAGCTAGGGTGAGGATGGGGAGGTTGGAGCAGTCCAACTGCTTACCTGTGGACAGCTGTAGCCAGGCCTGGCACACCCCGACACCTGCCTTGCCGGCCCATTTCTTCTGCAGACAGCAAAGCTCTCCTAAAGGCCTCTGGAGCTGATAACAAAGTTCTGGATCGATCCAGAGCTCTGTTATCAGCTGCACGGGCCTTCAGAAAAGACTTGCCGGCTGCAGAAATTCCTGAAGGCCTCTAACCACGAAAAGGAGGCCGGGGGCGACGCACTTAAGTGAGGTTAGTCAGTGGAAGACATCCTCCAAAAATAAGACTTGATGCCTTTTCCTGGTGGCAAAAAATATAAGACAGGGTCTTATTTTCAGGGAGACACAATTGTAACATTGTGGGGATTCACCCCGTGCGTCCACCAGTCTGGACAGGACCGTCTTCTTCTGAATAACCACTGTTCACCTGTCAGAATTTACCTGTCAGGGTAAATTCTGGCCTCTTCTGTTTCAGGTCCATTAAAGAAATGTTTCTCCATCGCAGCCGTTTGAAGACGTGTGGACTTCAATTCCCAGAATTCTTTGAGTTGAAATCTGCACTAAAAGTTGCTGGCATTGGAGAACATTTGAGTTAGACCACAGGAAGACACGGGCATGATAAGATTTGATGTTCTTTTCAGTCAATTGAGAACATCGGGTGGTTGGGTCCTGTAGGCCTTCAAGACAAGGGTCTCCAACCCTTGGGATGTAGCCCACTACCGGGCCGTGGCCTATTTGGAACTGGGCCATGTGAGCAGCAGCCGGACGCACACACGTGTGCGCAACTCAATTTGCAGTGTGCGTGCCAACCCGCCACTCAAGTTGAGCTGCCCGCGCGCACATGTTCTCCGGCCTGTCGCTCCTACGGCCTGGTCCTCCTCTCTCTGTCCCAGCCGGGTCGCCAAAAAAAAACACTTGAGAAAGGACATGCATTGAGAAATACTTGAGAAAGGACACCACTCTCTCAAATACTTGAGAA